TAGAATTTATTTTTTGTAAATAAGAAATTTTTCATCCATGCCTTGATAGTATTATGTCAAAAATATTTCCACACACATACCATAGTAAGCAAAAGAAAAGTACAGTCGGAAGAAGATTGCAACATGTGGGATCAGTCTGTCAGTCATTAGTTAAATGAATGCCATTTTCCACCACATCCAATCCATTCCCTTGAATCACTGTGGGACCTTACCTGATCACATTATGCCCTGTATGTCACCTAGTAGGTTCTGTTAAGAGTTTCTTACAATTGCATTAAAGAGAGCCTGTTGCAATAGAAACATGATAATGAGAATGAACTCTCCTTGCCTGGCTGTAATGCTGTTCCTTGCAGGTCAGTATCATGATTCACGAGCCTGGAAGGAACACGCAGCAAGTGAAGTCAGGCCTGAGCTGCATAATTTTTCTGGGTCAGCAATTCTGAAAGTACTGATTTCAGGGGACCAGGCCAGTCAACCTGCATTTTCAGAAATCAGCAATAGCAGCCCATTTTGTTTTTCTCCTCACAGGTTTCTTTTAAGGAGAATTGTACAGTCAGAGGTCCACTTAAAACTGGTCCACTGCTACATCTGGCCAGTAAAGGAAGATTAATAAAATTGAATTAATAGATATGTTTTATTGTTTCAGACAAATTCACTATGGCAACTACTCTGCATTGTGTAAGGGTATGGATCATTCTTGAATGAAGTGTATGTCAAGCAAAATAAAACAAAACATATGTAGTATATCCCTGCAGTGCATTCACCTTTCCCAGTGGTTTATTCTTTTAACCACTTATGGACCACCCTATATCAGTTTTACTGCTACAGGGCAGTCCTCCTGTACAAAATCATATATATAATTTTGCACTTCCACCTCACGGGGGCGCGCATGCCCCTGACGGATAACTTCTGCTGTAAACTGATGCTGCAGGAGCCAATCTACGAGTCATGGCGAATGCATGGCACCCATCAGGCAAGGAGGAACTACTATTTTGACAGAGGAAAGTGATCGATCATGTGTCTCTGCAGAGCTGGGAACACGGTCCATCACTTCCCCTTGTACCAACACCACCTAGTGTACATCAAGCACATAGCTAGGCACACACTTAACCTTTTGATCACCCTAAATGTTACACCTTCACAACCAGTGTCATTAGTACAGTAATCAGTGTATATTTTTAGCACTGTATTAGTGTCACTGGTTCCCACAAAGTGCCAGTTAGTGTAAAAATGTCCGCCGCAATATTGCAGTACCGTTATAAATCGCTGAACGCCGCCATTACTAGTATAAAAACTAAAAAAATTCCAGTATATGTCCCATAGTGTGTAGATGCTATATATTTTGTGCAAACTAATCAATGTACACTTACTGGGATTTTTTCATCAAAAATATGTAGCAAAATACATTTTGTCCTTTTTTTAAAATTTTAAATTTTTAGTATTGGATATGTTTTTAGTAGAAAATACAAAATATTGTGTTTTTTCAAAATTGTCAGTCGTTCTTTGTTTATAACGCAAAAAGTAAAAACCGCAGATCTCAGTAAGGATTAAAAATTGGCAGATAGGGAAATTGCACTGAAAAAAAATAAAAAATGTAGTGCACTGAAAACAGTTCTACAACTTATCTCCATTAAAAATAATTACACCTGTAGTCATATTGGAGGTACCTTCATTGCCGTATCTTTTAGATTTCCTGCACGTTTACTGCTCCAACACCTTCCACAACCCCCAAATGCTGAAAGTAGAACCCTGTACTTCAAGTATGCAGCATTTGGTGGGTCACCAAGTCACCCAGAGAGATCCCTGTGGGTGAGAACATGCCTAATTCCAGGCAAAGGGTGACTTTTAGGCTACATTAAGACGGCTGAACGTGTGCGGCCAGGAAAAGCCGCTAGCAAGAATCAGTAGATTCTTTCTGCGACAATAAATGTTGTTGTCACACTGTGTGCAACTAGCAGCAGCTGTTGGCAGTGGCTGTCGGTTTTGTATTCTGTACCAATTGATAGCCGGGGGTCACTGCTGTTCGCATGTAACTGCTCATCCAAGCGTTTACATGCAAATAGCAACCCTGGACACAGCCAGTGTGCATTCAGGGTTGGCATTTCTGCAGAGTTTTGGCCACTCACAAACTGGCCACAGGTAATTAGCTAGTTTTTATCTGCCCATATAGTGTTGCTGCACCTGGATACTGATCTGAACTAGGCAGACTGCCCGCTCTTATTCATCTGTCTGAGGGTAGCTGTTGAGAGTTGTTAAAGTGGTTGTAAAGGCAGGAGGTTTTTTTAACTTCATGCATTCTCTGCATGAAATAAAAAACCTTTTGTATGCTGCTTCCCACACAGCCCCCCTAATACTTACCTGAGGTTGATCACGATCCAGAGCTGTGCACTGGTTCTCCGGGGTCTCTCTTTCTCCTCATTGGTTCCTGCTGCTGTTAATCACAGCCAGTGCAGAGCAAACGGGGTGGCAGGTGTGTGTATAATGCTCTGTGTGTATTATAGACACAGAGCGGGCTTGAGAGCGAGCACACACGAGTGGCTACAGAGCAATCAGCTTGCTCTGGAGGCACTCAGCAGGGAGGAGGGGCCAGGTGCCCCGTTGAGGGACCTGAGAAGAGCAGGATGAGGGCTGCTCTGTGCAAAACTATTGCACACAGCAGGTAAGTGTGACATGTTTGTTGTCTAAAAACCTGAGCCTTTAATATCACTTTAAATACATAAAATCTGTTAAATACATAAGAGCTATAGCGATGGATCAGAGGTCCAGCAGGAAATATAAATGTGAGCTACAGCACCTGAGGGTGCTCACTGTGAGGGTATAGACTTTGCTTTTGATGCGCGTATCACAGACCTATTCTAAAAATTGGGAAAAAATCGGTTTTGTCAGAATATATCAGCTCACTTATTTCCCTTTTTTTCACCAGTATTTAGCACCAGAGGTAATAAAGAAGCAGCCATATGACAACACAGTAGATTGGTGGTGTCTTGGTTCTGTCCTCTACGAAATGCTACATGGCTTGGTAAGATAGATTTTTATGTTAGAGTAATATTTGTAGTACTATTTTAATCAGACCTAACAAAACTGGCTTTTCTGATTTCTCAGCACCCAGAGGATGTCCATGATGGCCATATAAATGGAGTTACAATAAAAGTATATTTTATTGTTCAGGAGGTTAAAACAAAAAGAATCAGTTGTTTGGCTCAATTTAACATGGTGCTTTAGGTATACTTGTCTAGAGACCACAAACATGGTTACATTATTTCAGGTTCACCTAACTGCTGTGTACAGCAAGATTTTCAGTCCCACTACAGCCATACAACCCCTTTACTCCTCCGACAGCGGGTGCAGGCTTTCAGTGGTCGCTGGCTGCCTCATAAAGTCTACTTCCAAGCAAAAGAAGAAGGGACGCCACTCTCTTTTAAAAGCCTTGTATGTATTTATTGAAGTATTCCATGTACAAGCAGATACACCTCTCCCACAAGCTTTAATGTGCTTCACCCTATCCAGAGCTTATTCATAGAGTCCACCTAAATGTTATTGCATTTGACATTCAATCATTTGCTGTCACAATATTGTAGCATTCTGTAATTCAGGTTTGATGCAATTTTTACTTCAGAGTTTTTTTGCAGCTTTCTAACAAATCTGAGAAAGTATGGCAGAATGGGAAAATAATCTGCTTAGAAAGTCGTCTTTACTAAATCTGTTGCTACCTTATGCTAACAAGTATTTCACCATGTTGCCCACCATCCTGTATGTGTTCTAGCTTGCTTGTTGCTATAGGGAGTAGTGCATATGGTGTACTACTGTGTATAGCTGTGCAGCTCGGTCTACATTTTCAATGCACGATCTGTAAGTATTGTCCCTTGGACACAGTGGACACTTAACAAGCTTGCACTAGAGCATTAGAACAAGAAAATCATTAAAGCGGAACTAAAGGGTTACAACTCCCCTTTCCAATGGTCCCTCACCGGTGCCTTCATTTTCTCCTGTGTGCCGGTCTTTGGACATCTTCATTGGCTGGCGCGACATGACGTCACTCCTGCACATGCTCAGGAGCTAGTTATTCCAGCACACAGCAATCGGCAGGCCTCTGTAAGCTGAGCTGCATGTGCGCAGCTCAGTTTACAGTCCAGTGAGCAGACAGGTAGGTGTAGTTTACTGCAGGAGAGACATTGCATGTCTCTTCTGTAATAAAAAGATTGCCTGCCTACAGTATGTAACAGCAGAACTTTAGTAGATATAAATAGCTGATGTTTTCTTTGGTGAAATTCATTGTATTACTTTTACTAGAAACCTGTGATTATGCAAGTAGAGATAACATATTCTTAAAGGCTAGGTTCACCTTTTTGGAAAAATAATAAATACACATATTTTTGCAGAAAAAAAAACTGTGCTTTTATTATTTTTTCCTCCAGGAGCCTGCAAAACTTTGCACCCATGATCAGTGGATCACAGGTGCAATGTCAAGCTGCTGCAGCCAAGCCCTTCAGCTGTCAGCTCATACCTATGTATGGGTTGTCAGTTTGAAAGCTGGAGGACTTGTGAATGAACTTTAAACAAGCTCATCAGCACCCTCACAGTTCATTCAGAACTACAAGCTGTCTACTGTGGTAGCAGACAGGACTTGTAGTTCTCTCATTTAAGGATTTCTGGGAATGATTAATGCAGCTGTGTAGGCAGAGCCACGCACAGCCATGCTTTTTTTAAAATGTGACAGCGGGTGCAGGGAGAGGATCCCCTACCCACTGCCACAGGTTGGAGGATGACGTGCAGAAGGATGTTACACGTTACATCCTAAATAAGGGTGTAACATGCTTCAAAAGGTGAACTTAACCTTTAATTCTTTCACTTCCTTGTATTTCTGTTTTCTATTTTATTATATTAATATCAAGATATTCATCTATCATATTATTTCTTTTCTGTTTGTAAGTACTGTATATACTAGTAACTGTATCTGAGACTAATGGTTCTTATTTTTTTTGTTTCAGCCCCCGTTTTACAACCGTGACATAGCAACCATGTATGAAAATATACTCCACAAACCCCTGGTCACGAGACCAGACATAAGTCTGACAGCGTCTGGCATTTTAGAAGAGTTACTTGAAAAAGATCCAAAACAAAGGCTTGGATCCAATAATGACTTTGTATGTGGCTCTTGTCTACCTAATGCAGCTTTAAAATGGAATGTTAATAATTGTTTACTTACTACAGGATTAAAGTGGTTGTAAACCTTTACATATATCCAGTGAAGTGACTAGCCTCGGAATGATACACAAATATGCAACAAATCCCCCTACATAGGGTATACCTGTTTATCTGCAGCCCTCTGTTCTCCAGAGCGTTTAACCTATACAGTTTACATAGCACTTCTGATCTTTCGGAGGCAAGGGGCATGGATATGATATCACATGCTGCACAGCATAGGAGGAGGAGAGATCTGAATGTAATCTGAGACTTGAGTTGGGGAAACGGACAACTCCACCAATGCAGTCTCATAGGGAAACATGCACAGCTGAGGCTGTCAATCACAGACTGTGTGCAGGAGCCCCCCTAGGCTTAGCCTGTTTGAAGTGACTCACGCAGATAGCAGAGGAAGGCGAGAGTTGACACGCTAAGTGCTCTGGATAGAGGCAAGTACACACTATAAAAGAATATGCATAGTTCAGGTTTCATTTCAGAGGTTTACAACCACTTTAGGGTGCCATAAACCTAAAATGATTGTTGTGATTCAGGTCTAGTACCATATATATAGGTATAGCTATACAGTCTGTACAGATTCTCTTCCCCGTATAGATAGACCTTGGTAAAACAGTTAATTAGCTAGCTTATGTTTTTCTGCAGGGGGAAATGTTTGCACAGGGCACAACATGCATGCTTGGCTGTTACATGAATCATTTAAAAAACAGTTCAGTGATCATTGTTCATTTTTCAGTCAGTGATTTAAAGTGTTACTTAACCCACAACAGTAAAACCAGTCTGTATATGCAGTAAAGCATGCTTGTTATACTCACTGTGGAACCTGAGGGCTTAATCCTCTGCATTGTGTAAAAACGCTGTTTGATCCTGACTTCTCTGATCCTCCCCTTCTTCCAGTGCCCCCCTCTTATCTCCTGATAAGACATATCATGTGTAGTCACATGCTCAGTTTGGTGTGTATTGCTAGAGAGGTTTTTTTGTCTTGGGAGAATGCATGTGATCAGCACAGGGCCAATCAGCACTGTCCAGACAGAGGGTCAGGGGTTCTGCATCCTCCTAGTGCAGGAAAAAAAACTCCTCCTGCAAGCTATACCATGTGCTGCTCTGGACACTGATAGAAGTCACAAGACTGCTGATGAGAAAAGGTATTAAGCAGTTTATAAATACACACTCCTGCGCCACAGAATAATCTTCAAACAAAGGTATGAGATGCTGCTGTACACTAGTGCAAAACGCCAAATAATATAAACCAAAATAAACAGCGCAAAATACCCAAACCAAATTAATTACATAATAATAAATTATAAAATAAAAATTATAAATTATTAGAAATAAAATTGATAGTGTCCAAAAAAAATTCTTTAAGATAAACAAAGTCCTTTATCCCAAATTCCAGGGTGCTTCAACAAAAAATTATTATAACTTGCCTCCTAGGATATGTGCTTCCACCTACACCCCCTCTACAGCCACCAGACCTCAATTCCACCATACAGGGCTAGGATGATCCTTCCACTCACTTCCTGATAAAGACTTCCAAACTTGCTCCACAGTTGTACCAAAGGAAAAAAGTGTATATAGTGTAATATTGCTAATGACCATATAACATATAGTTAATAATACCAGGCCACTCACATTTCACAAGATCCATAAAAGCATTATTTATTAGCCTCCACCGGCCAGACAGAATAAACATGACATCCAGGGACAGCTCCAGAAACTTCACAGCTCGAATTTTAGAGGATGACAGTATGTATATCATCCAGATCACAAAATGGCCGCTTGGAACGCACCACTCAGCGTGCGTTCGACTCACTGGAAGTTGCGCAAGACGTTCAGACTGCAGACCGGAAGTGCGTTGACGCGCTTCACCCCTACCACTGGGCGTTCTCAAGAGACACACCTCCAGTCTCCAACCTCTTAAATAGCAGTACAAGGACCCTCCCCTCTTCTTCCATAGGTCAATTTCTTCTGTTAAGTATAAAGCCACACTGTCATCCTATGATCTCGTGCCATGGGATTCCTTCACACAAGTTATACTAAACATGTAATGCATCACACCTGTTCATTAATCTTCATACAATATGAGCCACAAACAACACAAAATATATACTTATATGCTCCTGAAGCCACTTCCAATATATTTAGACTGATGAAAGCCATATAAATAAAACCTCCCAAATAATCTTTATTATAATCTCTATATTAATTCAACCCCTAATCAAAAAGAAAAAAATAAAATAAATATGAAAATAAAAATAAACAAAAAAATTTAAATAATATAAAAAAAAAAAACAAAAAATAAGAAAAAATATATATAATAAGAAAATAATGAAATGAAAAAATGGAAAATAAATAAAAAATAAAAATAAACATAGAAATAAAAATATAGAATAAATAATTGAAAAATAAATACAAATAAGAGAGAACTATTAAAAGATATTAAAAATATTAAACCTTTGTATATTATTATATAGCTTTTACAGTTAAGTTCGCACTCAGACTAGCTACCAATTAGATAGAAAACAGTTAATGTCAATATCTGCATTTAACCCTTTAGGGTTCAATGTCCCCATTTGATATATCCATTTGGTCTCATTTTGCGAAATATGTTTGACCATATCACCCCCCCCCATGGAGCATCAATTCTGTCTATCCCACAAAATTTGAGACATGTTGGATCCTTATTATGACATAATCTGAAATGATGTGAAAGGCTATGATACTTATATCCCTTCTTTATGTTTCTGATATGTTCCCCCAATCGTACAGAAAGTTTCCTAGTTGTTCTACCTATGTATTGGAAGTGACAAGAACATTCCAACAGATAGGTAACATAGGAACTATCGCATGATATAAATTTCTTGATTTTATAAGATGAACCATTAGAGCAAGATAGAAAGCTGTCATAATTTCTCTTATCACCTTTCATATTTTTACATGCTATACACCTTCTGCATTTAAAAAAAACAACCCTATCAAGGAAGGTGACCACCTTCTTTGTGCATCAGGAACATTCTTTACCAGTCTAGTTCTTAATGTTGGTGGTTTCCTATAAATGAACGTGGGTCTCTTGGGCAATACTTTATCAAGGACCTCATCCCTTTTCAAAATCAGCCAATGCTTCCTAATGATGTTTTCAACCAATTTATATTGACTTGTAATGAAAGCCAAGTCACCTATCTTATTCTTCCTCTCCTTCTTTATTAACAGATCTTCTCTCTTAATATTCTTAACCTGATCCACTGAGCAGGCTAGAACATCCTCTTTATACCCTTTTTCTCTAAATCTTTGTAGTAACATATCTGCTTGATTTAGAAAAATATTCTCCTCATCACAATTTGTTTCAGTCTGATAAGCTGGCTTTTGGGAATAGATTTTAAGCAATTTCTATGGTGGCAACTATGACTTGGAATAAAACCATTCCTATCTATCTCTTTGAAATGTGTTTTAGTGAAAAATTGGTTCCCCTGTTTATAAATCGTAAGATCTAGAAAATCTATAGCTTCCACGCTGATATGATTAGTAAATTATATGTTCTAGTTTTTTATATAATCTTTATTTTATAATTAAGCAGTTTATATTTACTAAAATAATTGCATTTTCCATGTTCTGTGCACTGTGGGAGGTCAGATATAGTGAATGCAGGGTCCTGGGTTTAGTAATACTTTAAGTTTCCACTCTCCACCCCATGTCTGTGACTACCTGAATACCATCTATGATGGAAGTACAAATGCCAGCATCCTGTGACTAAAAATATTTTTTTTTTAGTTAGAAAGTCTCTATTAACCTATTCTGCTAAATAGTTTTACATTACAGTTTTTAAGGCAGATTTAATATTATAGAGCCACAGAAAACAATGTAAATGTTTTTTATTTTACAGCATTCTGTTCTTTGTGTAAGGAAAACAAATCTTTTGTTAACCTCAGATAGGTAATTACCCCAGAAGACAAAATGTTTCAGCATATATTATTTTTACTTTAACTTTAATTTTTATTTCCAATATTAAGAGCTTCGAAGCACCAAGTGCATGTCAGCATGAAGCTCTGCTTAACAGCCCTACATGCATTGTTTTGTGCACAGGAATTGAGCTCTATGCATAAAGTAGATGTGAATAGTAACTAAATGCAAAATCACTGCATGTCATAAACCTCTTCTTCTAATAAAAGACTTGTTTCCACTTTTTTTTTTTTTTTTTTTTTAAATCTTTGTTGGATTTTCTGATTAATACAATAGTTGATCGTGTCGGCATAATATGTGTTGAAATGGCTATTTGTAGTCTCCATTGAAAGCCCAAGTTACTATGCAGAATCACAAAGTACACAGGTGAAACTCAAAAATTAGAATATTGTGCAAAAGTTCATTTATTTCAGTAATGCAACTTAAAAGGTGAAACTAATATATTACATGCAAAGCAAGATAGTTCAAGCTGTGATTTGTCACAATTGTGATGATTATGGCTTACAGCTCATGAAAACCCCAAATCCACAATCTCAGAAAATTAGAATATTGTGAAAAGGTGCAATATTCTAGGCTCAAAGTGTCCCACTCTAATCAGCTAATTAAGCCATAACACCTGCAAAGGGTTCCTGAGCCTTTAAATGTCTCTCAGTCTGGTTCAGTAGGAATCACAACCATGGGAAAGACTGCTGACCTGACAGTTGTGCAGAAAACCATCATTGACACCCTCCATAAGGAGGGAAAGCCTCAAAAGGTAATTGCAAAAGAAGTTCGATGTTCCCAAAGTGCTGTATCAAAGCACATTAATAGAAAGTTATGTGGAAGGGAAACGTGTGGAAGAAAAAGGTGCACAAGCAGCAGGGATGGCCGCAGCCTGGAGAGGATTGCCAGGAAAAAGCCATTCAAAAGTATTGAGGACTTTCACAAGGAGTGGACTAAGGCTGGAGTCAGTGCATCAAGAGCCACCACACACAGACGGATCCTGGACATGGGCTTCAAATGTCGTATTCCTCTTGTCAAGCCACTCCTGAACAACAAACAACATCAGAAGCGTCTTACCTGGGCTAAAGTAAAACAGACCTGGTCTGTTGCTCAGTGGTCCAAAGTCCTTTTTTTCTGATGAGAGCAACTTTTGCATCTCATTTGGAAACCAAGGACCCAGAGTATGGAGGAAGAATGGAGAGGCACACACTGCAAGATGTTTGAAGTCCAGTGTGAAGTTTCCACAGTCTGTGTTGATTTGGGGAGCCATGTCATGCTGGTGTTGGTCCACTGTGCTTCATTAAGTCCAGGGTCAACGTAGCCGTCTACCAGGAGATTTTGGAGCACTTCATGCTTCCTTCTGCAGACAAGCTTTATAGGGATGCTGACTTCATTTTCCAGCAGGACTTGGCACCTGCCCACACTGCCAAAAGCAACAAAACCTGGTTCAATGACCGTGGGATTACTGTGCTTGATTGGCCAGCAAACTCGCCTGACCTGAACCCCATAGAGAATCTATGGGGCATTGCCAAGAGAAAGATGAGAGACATGAGACCGAACAATGCAGAAGAGCTGAAGGCCGCTATTGAAGCATCCTGGTCTTCCATAACACCTCAGCAGTGCCACAGGCTGATAGCTTCCATGCCACACCGCATTGAGGCAGTAATTGCTGCAAAAGGGGCCCAAACCAAGTACTGAGTACATATGCATGCTTATACTTTTCAGAGGTCCGATGTTGTTCTATGTACAATCCTTGTTTTATTGATTGCATGTAATATTCTAATTTTCTGAGATTGTGGATTTGGGGTTTTCATGATCTGTAAGCCATAATCATCACAATTATGACAAATCACGGCTTGAACTATCTTGCTTTGCATGTAATGAGTCTATCTCATATATTACTTTCACCTTTTAAGTTGCATTACTGAAATAAATGAACTTTTGCACGATATTCTAATTTTTAGAGTTTCACCTGAATTGTTATTGAAAGCTACAGATTTAGAAATATTCAAAATTACTATTGAATTTACAATAACTTGCTAAATCTTATATGAGATTTTAGTAATTGGGGTTTTATATACTTTAAATGGCTGTTGATGCATGTAGATAAGGTATGTCCTATCACCTACATTTAACTGCAGAAGTGTACATGGAAAAACCATGTATCCTCAATGTCAATGCAGCTCCATTTAAAAGAGAAGTGCAAGAAATGAAAATAGCAAAAAACCATACTCACCTAGCTGACTGCAACATTCATCCAATATTGCAACTGTCCTCTGCCTTTACACCAAGATCTAAGCAATCAAAGACTGCTGATCACTCAGTCCTTGGCTCCGCTCTGATTATAAGTCACCGCTCTGTGTTCTGCCCCTCCATCACTCACTGGAGCGCTGAGTTGCAGAGGGAGGGGGAGTGGCTCAGCCTCTTAGTGATGCATTGAGAGGCTGAGCCAGCTGAAGTTCTGTGAAGTCAGCTGACAGCAGGATTTAACCCATTGTTGGCTGTATCGGGGTCACAGCAGTGCAGAACTAAATGCACATCTGTGAATCATAGGAGAAATATGACCAAAAGAGCTTCTTGATTGTTCCTGCTTTCATACGCCTATTTTGAGCATGCCCATAAAGTGATAGTAAACTTTTTTTACTTTTACCTATAGGTGAGCTTATAACAAAGCTTACCTGTAGGTAAAATGAATATCTCCTGAACGTGCACCGTTTAGGAGATCTTTGCTCTCTTTTGAGAGCCGGCGCATGCGCTCTGAAGGAACGGCATACCTGTACCATTCCTTCAGAGCACAGCGCCATGGCCCGGGACTCCCGCATAGCTCGGCCAGTCAGATGGCCAGAGTGAGCAAACCTGGAATGAAGACTGGGTGAAGATGGAAGCCTCTGCAGCGGTGACAATGCGTCTCTGGAGGGCTTTGTTTCAAAGTAAGTCCTTCATAACGTGCTAGTATGCGATGCATACTAACACATTATGACATTACCTTGCAGGGGATTTTTTTTTTTTTTGTAGGTGCGGTTTACTACCACTTTAATTCCAAATCCTCCCATAAAATATTCCAATATACTGAATATTACTTGAAAAATCTCTCTGTTTTCACATTTGTAACTTTTGTGCATCGTCCTGTGTTTACCATGTAATAACTGTATTGATTGATAGATTCAGTAATTGCTCTTTTAAATTGTCTTTTTAATTTGTTTTGCAGGAAGATATCAAACATCATCCATTCTTTACATGTATAAATTGGACTGAGCTTGTTGAAAAGAAGATCCCTCCACCATATGACCCTCATGTGGTAAGAAGAAGTGTTACAGAGTTAGGCTAAGTTCACACTAGCTTTGTTAACAGGCGTTAGGGAAGTGTTTTTAATGCTACTCAAACACTTATGAAAATTCTACACATGGCAGCACACTGTGCTGTTCACACTGAAGCATTAGCGTCGTGGTAAAATTGACGCCTTATGTTGAGTCTGGAGGCATTGAAGCCTCCCATTCAAGTCTATGGTGACGCTCCTCAAACGCCTGGCAGGCATTTCCGGGAAGTTTGCGAGGCATTTGCGGAGTGTTAATGCCATTAAACTTCATTAAAGGCGTGTGGTGCAATTTGAAAGCTTGGCAAACACCTATCAAATGCTTATAAAACGCATAGGGCTTTGGGTAGCATTTGAGGAGCGTTAAAAATGCTTCCGAAACGCCTGTCAAACACTATAGGAGTGTTTCGCAAGAGTTAGAAATTAGTCAAGTGTGAACGAGCCCTTAGTATGGCTGAAAAACAACAAAAGTCCATCTAGTTCAACCATAAAAAAAGTTATAATCCTATATCCACAGTTGATCCAGAGGAAGGCAAAAAAAAAACAGCAAAGCATGATCCAATATGCTCCTGCAGGGGAAATAAATTCCTTCCTGATCGTTATCTCTGTGGGTATTAGCAACAGAAGAATTGGTTTGGTAAACTTTATGAATGCAAATGGAATACACAGCAGAACCAGTATAATGGAATACTGCAACACATCCAGGCCTAGTCTGTATGCCTATAGAAAGAGAAATGATAATAAACAATGTTCACTAATCCTATGCAACCATTCAAAAATCCTGTTTCTGTGATATGACCATAATTGCTGTGGATTATTGTAGTTTGCACACCATCGTTACTTTTTAAATTGCCTTGTGGAATAATCACAATTTCTAAAATGTACCAAAAGCAAATCTAAGAGAATTATAGTTCATTGTATGAATTGCGTAAAAAACTAACAGAACAAAAATTCTGGCAAGAATAAATGAGAAGGCAGAAAACTGTTAACAACCAGTAATAGCACATGATCAGTAAGGTGTAAATAATCTTGTTAAAATGTTCCTAGATATTGTTCCAGGTGTATGTGAAACAACCACAGTGTGTTGTTGGCAGCACCTGGCCTTAGTGGTTCACATTTACACCTCGCAGTAATGGGGTCCTTGGTTTGAATCTTATCCAGGACACTATCTGCATGGAATTTGAATGTTCTTCCTGTGCTTCTGTGGGTTTCCTCCAAGTACTCCAGTTTCCTCCCACACTCCAAAGACATGCTATTAGGTTAATTGATTCATCTAAATTGTCCATAGTATGTGTGTGCAAAATGGCTATGCAAATGTTCTCTCATTCTGCATCCCAGTCCCAAGCCAAGCAATTGGGCAGGGTTTAGGAAAGGTCCTGCACGCTCCCTAACTTGTAAAAAAAACTCCTCCCAAAAAAATTTGTAGGAAAAAAGCTCTCGCTGAGAGACTAATTCGACTGACTGTATATATACATACACGTAGGTTGCAGGCACTGCTTAGTATTGCTGCACAATTATTATACCTCCATCAGTGCAAGTCTGTAGGTCTTAGTAATGTGAGATGTTGACCTAAATTCCCTTATATAGATAGCCACTGAAGGGAAAATCTGGAGGCATGCAATCAACATGGATCACAAACTCATATCAATAGCAATCGGTTAGTTTATAATAAACATATTAAAAGTATACATGTTTTTGCACTTTATGATCCAGTCATACGAACCATGATGACCACAACACTGGCTCACTCATGACACCTGCACAACCTCTTCCGCTGATATGTAGGCTACTGCCCCAACTATTTTTCCTAGATCTGCTTTTGCCTGCTTAAGCTGTTGTTACACAACAATCAGAATTTTGGCTGGGTTCAGCAGGGACTGGCCAAATTTTGATCTGCGTGTGGCCTTCCCTGTTTGATAGAAGTCGATCGGTAGATCACCTTCTGTCGAACGGGACTGTTGGAAAACTTTCAGCTGCAGTGCTGATCAGTGTATTCTGACAGTGGGGGAGTCCCCAGTAGCACAGCAAGGAAGGATTCCTTCATCCACCTCACTTGTGTGGATGAAGGAATCCATTCGTTTTTTTCTGTTCAGCTCACCAGCTGAACAGAAAAAAAGAGTGCAGAAGGCAGGGATTTCTAAGTTACTAACAGCATATTTCTCCCATCCTGACAAATTAGATTGTGTCTGGATTGTTCCTTTAGGGCAGACATATCAAACTTGTGTTTTTGTGGGCTGTATACAAACCCTGCACTTCTCCATTGCACTCCTCATGTAATTTATAATTACAGAGCTGCAGTAATTAATATTTTTATCTGGCCAGAGTTCAGCTTTAACTGATGTCGCTAACTGCAGCTTTTCATAAATTTAAAGCACAAAGTGATAAAAAACTTGAAACTAATTATACTATTTTTTCTTAATAGGATGGCCCTGATGATATATCAAACTTTGACACAGAATTTACAAATGCTATGGTTCCTGATTCTGTCTGTATTTCTTCTGACTACTCCATTGTTAATGCCAGTGTTGAAGAAGCAGATGATGCCTTTGTTGGATTCTCCTATGCTCCACCCTCTGATGACTTTTTCTTTTAGGGACTGGATGTGTTAGTCATTTAATGTGAGCACATACAGTTGTGTCCAAAATTATTCAACCCCCAATGCTGTAAAGGGGTTTAGGGACTATAGTGTACATTTGGAATTGTATTCAGAATCAAATCCTACAAGGACGTTGTAACTACCCAAATGCAACTAAAATGACATCAATTGTTTATGTAATACAGTAGTAAATGGTTCTTATGTGGTTTCTTCATTGCCACAATTATTCAACCCCTTAAAGACTACCACTCTGAAGAACAGAGGTTCATACAGGTGCTTTCCATCAGGTATTGAAAACACCTGTGGATGTCACCGAGCAGCAATCAAGCATAATAAGCACCAATTAGGCAGCTTTAAAATGACTGTGATACTCAGCTCCTTCTAGACATTTACTGGTGTGGTTACAAACATGGTGAAGGCAAGAGAATGGTCCAGGAAGACAAGAGAAGAGGTGATTTCTCTTCACAGGAAGGGCAATGGCTATAAGAAGATTGCAAAGATGTTAAACATACCAAGAGACACCTTAGGAAGCATCATTCGCAAATTCAAGGCAAAGGGCACTGTTGAAACGCTACCTGGTCGTGGCAGAAAGAAGATGCTGACTTCGACTGCTGTGCGCTACCTGAAGCGTAGAGTGGAGAGAAGTCCCCGTGTGACTGCTGAGGAACTGAGAAAAGATTTGTCAGATGTGGGTACAGAAGTTTCAGCCCAGACAATAAGACGCACACTGCGTAATGAAGGCCTCCGTGCCAGAACTCCCAGGCGTACCCCCTTGCTGTCTCCAAAGAATAAGAAGAGTCGACTGCAGTATGCCAAAAGCCATGTGGACAAACCACAAAAGTTGTGGGATAGTGTTCTGTGGACTGATGAAACAAAATTAGAACTGTTTGGGCCCATGGATCAACGCTATGTTTGGAGGAGGAAGAACAAGGCCTATGATGAAAAGAACACCTTGCCTACTGTGAAGCATGGTGGAGGGTCAATCATGCTTTGGGGCTGTTTTGCTTCTGCAGGTACAGGGAAGCTTCAGCGTGTGCAAGGTACCATGAATTCTCTTCAGTACCAGGAGATATTGGATGGAAACGTGATGCAGTCCGTCACACACCTGAGGCTTGGGAGACGTTGGACCTTTCAACAGGACAATGATCCCAAGCATACCTCCAAGTCCACTAGAGCATGGTTGCAGAGGAAAGGCTGGAACATTGTTGGAGTGGCCATCGCAGTTCATCGCTCACCAGACTTAAATCCGATTGAGAACCTCTGGTGGGACTTAAGAAAGCAGTTGCAGTGCGCAAGCCTAAGAATGTGACTGAACTGGAGGCCTTTGCCCATGAAGAATGGGCGAAGTATACCCGTAGATCGCTGCAAGACACTTGTGTCAAGCTATGCTTCACGTTTAAAAGCTGTTATATAACTGTAAAAGGATGCTGTACTAAGTACTAAGATTGAATGTCACTTGGGGGTTGAATAAAACTGATAATGCTGTGAGCACAGAAAAGACATTTGTGGTTATTTCATTATAACTGTTATGTTATATTTGTCTGACCTACAAGTGCCTCTTTAATGTAAATGTAAGCAAGATGACTGAATGATCAAAAGCAATGTCAAACTGGCCAAAACACTCAATTTTCAGTGGGGGTGTGAATAATTTTGGACACAACTGTAGAAGCGGCAATCTTACAGGGTATTTAATCAGCATAAAAGTCTACCTGTTGCTTATCCTCATGAGCCATTTTCTGAACTGAAGCAATAGCTCCACAGCATACAGATTATCCATTCACAGGATACTGCATAGTGACATATATGAGATAACAACAACATATCAAAACTTAAAAATGACTAGATTGTTCAAGGTGGCTAAATGAGTTCTCAGTGTGTGGATAAACTGAATTTGAAGCTGGTCTATATTCATGATCTTCCGTACTAACCATCAGCGCCTCTGCTAGATACTTTTCAACTTAACCAGCTATACTTGAGGACAAACTGAAACGTATTCATTGCCATTTCACACCACATGCAGTCCAGTGCATTTTTTTTTTGCATCAAAAATACATAGTAGATTACATGGTTTCCAATGGCATAGTTCACACCCAGTGTGATCAGTTCCAGTGCATTCCAGAAAAAATAGTAGAACCTGCTGCATTTTTTCTGTACTGAACTGTACTGGAACGCAGTAAAACATACCGGAACTCATATGTCCTTATTAAGTTGAAGGAAAAGGAGAAAAAGTTAACCGAAAAACACATCAGAAACGCACCGCAACGTGTCAAAAATGCTGCTAAAATGTGCATTCAGCATCTGGACTGCTTTTCTATGGTGTGAACTGGCCCTAAAAAAGAAAATCTGTACTGAAAGAGGAATGTGGGCTGCCATTCCTGACCCTCCTTTTAAACATGCTGTTTTCCTGCCTGAACTACTGATCTATTGGCTTTAATGTTTTTGAGTCTTTGAGAACAAGTATGCACATCAGATTTTCTGACTTTACTTGCTACATGCGTGTTGAGTAGAGATTCAGAATTGAACCGATTGAAGCTAGAGACAGCCAGGCAACTAACATTTTATTGAACAAAGTCAGCAGGATCCACATTATTCTCTCAGTACAGGTTTTGTAAAGCTTAGTGCATCGGGCTGGCAGTAGGTTCAGTGTGGCTAACAGAATTTTGGTGTCCAAAGTATTTAGACACTGGGAATATTGCAGTGGTGTAGCCAGCCAATTCACTTACTTTAAGTGCAAATGTTAAATAACTACTTTTTCTGCACACATTTTGACATACTTTATTACCTCTTTGTGGAGAATTTCATGCTAATAGCTTTTTAGATTTTTTACACTTGAAGAAATTCGATCTAGCTAATTTGTGGTGAAGGGTGTTTTGTTGGAATTGCTACACTTTTCCCCTGTACTGATGTAGTTCATGCATTCCCAGAAGGATACTCCTTTTATAAGTAGTATTAATATGGCTGCTGTGCAAGCCACTGGGAATTCTGAATGTCACCAAAGCACTGTTCTGGTTGTCCCTGCCACATAGTTTTTGTGAGTGATACTTTTTAATTTCCTGCATGTAGAAATAATGAACTAGCTGTCTTGAGACCTTTTTTCTACCTTTTTTCAGACAAAAATGATGATGGCCCCAAAAAATGCAAGGGTTTTTTTAGGTGTAAAGGGAATGACAAAGGATATACGTAATCTGTGAAATCAAATTGTTTTTGATGATTGGAGCATAATAACTCTAATTTATAATTTAGTTTTCTGACTGATTGGCCCCTGTTATAGACTACTCCTGAGTAGAAACACAAAGGGGGTTTATTTACTAAAGCTGGAGAGTCCAAAAGCAGACTCCCTTCTGCATAGAAACCAATCAGCTTCTAACCTCAGCTTGTTCAATGAAGCTTTGGCAATGAAACCTGGAAGCTGATTGGTTTCTATGCAGAAGGGAGTCTGATTTTGGACTCTCCAGCTTTAGTAAATAAACCCCAAGGTGTCACATTGTTTCTAAAGGCTATCAGTAGACATCCTTTAATTCTCCAACATGAAAACATCTTTATTAAGGATGTTGCTTCTGTAAACACACAGCATTGTGTCAGCCGTACATGCAGTTTTATACAGGTCTATGAGTAGTCAGCCCTGACACCAGGAAAAAATAGTATTGATAATATGGGAACATTTATTCTCAATATTTTTCCCCCTGAACTTAACTGCTTGATATAGAGCTGTTAGAAGCAGGATCAGGTGATGCTTATGATATATTAGTGGAGAACCTAATGAGTGCCATACATTATACAATTTTCTTGACAATTTTTCTTTAGATTTACAAAAAAACATATAATATGAGGTCAAACCTAAACAACACTTTCCAATTAGGCAGGCCCTTGCACAACATAGTTGAAGGTAAATCTAAAGACAATTGTAAGAAAATTGAATAGTGTATGGCCAGCCTTAGTCCTCTCTTGTCATAGACGTACAATTCAAAGGCCATAGACTTGTCAGCTATGCTAGGTTATGCCTGCAGTATTACTGCTGATGATATCTATATAGCCAAAGATTCCAATGAAGAGGGATCAGAGAATTACTGTCTTGCTGCACAGAAGAGTTTATATCAGGGTCTCTTTCTGCATAACAAAGTAAATCCTTTTTCAAAATGACAGTAACTAATTGACTATTGACATTTAACACTGCTTCCTGGCTAATTAAATCTATATGTGTTGATTTGTGGCAATGGATACAGTGGGTATAGAAAATAATTACATTTTGTTGCCTTTCAGCCTGAAATGAAGACACACAATTTTTGTTTTATCCAGCTGTTTTTACTCCAATTGAAAGATATAACACCAACATATCAGATAAACATTTAAAAAATTCAAAAACAGAATCACTGAGTTGGAAGAAGGATCACCCCTTGTGTCAGTATTTTGTTTAACCACCTTTTGCTTTAATTCCAGCCTTTAGTCTGTTGGGATATGTCTCTACTTACTTTGCACATCTAGACTTTGCAATATTTTCCCACTCTTCCTTACTGGACTGCTCAAGCTCAGTTAAATTTGATGGTGACTGTTTGTGAACTGCAGTCTTCAAGTCATTCCACAGATTTTTAAAGGAGTTTAAGACTGGGCTCTGACTAGGCCATGCAAGGACATTCACCTTTTTCTCCTTCAACCACTGTGTGCTCATTTTTCCTGTGTGCTTTGGGTCATTGTCATGGTGGAAGGTAAACCTTCTTCCCATTGACCACTTTCTGACAGAGAGCAGCAGAATTTCCTGAAGAATATGACGGTATTTTGCCCCATCCATTTTTCCTTCTATCCTGACAAGTGCTCCAGGATAATACCACCTCCATGGTTTACTGTAGGAATGGTGTTATTTGGATAGTGAGCTGTATTGGATTTCCACCAGACATATCGTTAGTGTTGAGGCCAGATCATTCAGTTATAGTCTCATCTGACCACAACACTTTTTTCCTTGTGGCCTCAGAATCTTAAAGCTGTGTTTTGACAAAGCTCAG